TAACTTATAGATTGGAAGACAGACAGGCCCAAAGGGAGATACAAAAGGGAATTATATTATCTAAGTTACTCGCCTTCTAGATCTGAAACAATTAATAGTTGACCAAAATAATATTCATACATAAAATATACTCTAGTTAAGACATACATTTGCATCAGAAACTTAATACATCAAATATGTTTGAATATTTATTTTATTTATACAAATGCCACACATTTGGTCACTAAGCCATTAACCTGGGCCCACCAACGGCCGAGCGGTAAAGTCCCTGAACATGGGTAGTACGATACGAGGTTTGAATCCTGCGAACGTGCTGGCTGGATGGGCATTTTTTTGGTTTTCCCCATGAGGAACGTTTAATATGGGTAATTCCCCTTAGAAAGTCCTCCACGAAGGCATCGCTCTCTTCCGTGTAGTGCCTTAGGGCGGAAGACGTATATAATAATAATATTAGCCTTGATCTTGCTTCCCAAAACTGAAGAGCAGTAGAATTAAAAGATAATAGTGCAGTGCATACTCCAATATGCTCCTTATCCACAGACAGTCCAGAGTTATAAAACGTACAGACAGAAGAGTCGTTAAGTCGAATTTTTAAAAAGATGGGAATTCAGACAATTGTGCGCAATCAAAGGACGGTATAACGGGCGGAAAACGGCTTTGCTATCGGACAAAATAACAGCCCAAAGTAAATTACGCTTCCGAGCGTTTAATTCATTCACAGCAATAAATATAGCCTCAACTTCACCATCGAAATTGGTCGTATCTCTTCCCACTGCCTTATAGAATGCAGAATGCCATAACGAAATACAATCCAAAAGCGAGGAATCTAAAGAACAAGGAAGCGAGGCAACGCTGTGATAGATATAGCTTCAACCAGGGTGCACCACGAAGAGGCCTGCCACGTTACACGTTGTTTGAATACATAATTTTTATATACAGTCGAAACCAATTATAAAGTACTTTGAGATCGGAGCTTTCGTTCGCTGTGTCCAGTGTTTCGCTATATCCGAGCCAATGAGAAAAACGTATTATCTCACAAACTCGTGTAAAAAGTGAATGAATATAAAAACTGATTAATATTTTCCCATTTTTCGAAAGAAGTGAATAAAAAGTCTAATTAAAAAAATCGCATTCAGATTTCATTAAAATTATTATTACGCACATTTATTAAATTTGTTGTTCGTTCTTTTCCATTATCCTTCCAAATGTCTGGCAAAAGTCATTTGACTTTGAAGCATTCGTCCAGATATTGGCATATAAGGCATTTTATTAGTGAATCATTTCAGAAATATTTCTTCAACATCTTTATACTCCATCTTTCTCGACGTTTCCTACGTATCTAAATGATAGACTAAAGCAAGCAAAAATTATAGAGTTTCGATTTTTTCATACCAGCTTTAGATTTGGATAAATTATATTCAGATTACGATTTGTCTGTATTCTTTTTTGTAGTTTTCCAAATAAAGTTCACCTTTACCGCTCACCAAGTGAATGAATTTTTGACACAGAAATAGAATGCAGACAACTTCATCAAAGAATATGATAGTTTTACTGTTCTAGAAAATTTGGAAAAGGAAGATAACTTCAGCACCTATTTATCTTATCCAGTGTCACTTCCCTCAAGAAATGTATGGTTGCAAAGCAGAAATTCAATAACCTTCTAGAGACCTTAGGTTAATTGGAAAAGCCGGAGAGATGAAAAATTAGCAAACGCCTTCGCAGGGAATCGAACCACTGACCTCTTTGGATACCAGCCCAATGTGCAGAACCACTACACCACAAAGTCACACTAGGAAAGCGGGAGAAATACCTTATATACTCCCCTTTTTAAAGGGCAGCTGGAGTTTTTAGGGGACTTAATCGCCAAATCCTGGGTGTGGAGAATCCTCATCCAATACTCGTTTAGTTCGGGCGCCACTGTAGAGACATTAGGTATTTTTTTGGAAGCAGGCAGATGAAAAATTAGCAACGCTTTTGCCGGGAATCGAACTACGGACCTCTGGAATATCAGCTCAGTGTGCAGAACCACTACACAACGAAGGCACGCTAGGAAAGTGGGAGATATACCTTATATACTCCCCTTTTGAAAGGGCGACTGGGGTTTTTGGATGACCCAGTCCTGGGTGTGGAGAATCCTCATCGAACACCCTCTTAGTTCGGGCGTCACTCTAGAGACATTAGGTTACCTGGAAAAGCCGGAGAGATGAAAAATTAGCAAACTGCTTTCACCGGGAATCGAACCACGGACCTCTGGATACCGGCCCAGTGTGCAGAACTACTACCCCACGAAGGCACGCTAGGAAAGCAGGAGAAATACCTTATAACTTTTATAAGGAATATCTGTGTTTTGCAAAAGAAGGCAAATTTCCCATTTGGAGGATACAATTTAGAGAGCATATGTACTCAAATAAAAAAACGATAAGGATCAAAACTTTTCCCCCCCCCCGAAAAAAAAAATGAACTGAAAACCGCAAGCATAAATCCTCTTTACAGTGAAAATTTCAAAATTTCCATCATAGCAACAGTCTTGCAGCTCAAAGAAAGAATTTTAATGGAATCAGAGCAGTGGCGTAGCGAGGGGGGCAAGGGGGTGTATGATGCCCCGGGCGCCGCTCGCAGAGGGCGCATGGTCCAAACAAGATTTTCATCATATTACTGTGTTTTTTTTTCGGAAGGGGGGGGCCAAAGGATTTTTGCCCTGGGCGCCAGTTATGCTCGCTACGCCACTGAATCAGAGAACCCACTCACGCTTATTGGTTAAATGGTTATCTTAAACGTGGATGATTTTAATAATTAGTAATTTAATAATTTTTCTCGTTAAAGATTGCAGAAATTCTGGAAAAAATGTTAAAAAAAAACGACAAAAGTTTCAGTTCAAGATATCCATACAGTTTCTTATATCCAATTTTCGTACTCTTGGAGATTCGCTGTAAAATAACATTAAGTGTAAAGAAACTGCATGGTATCAAAAGATCCGTTCATTTTTAAACCTAGTTTTTTATTGCGGGGTTCGAATGTATTCAGACATTTTTTTTTTTTTTTTTTTACTTTGGCCCAAAGAACGATTTCTTAGCGCGCTATCATACATTCTTCTGTTTCGAACGAAGAACCCTTTAAAACAGTATTTCTGTAGATTTATCGCTGAAAGAAAAGAACACGATTTTTTTCCTCTCTGATGCAATAAGTTGTAGATTGCATGTCTTTTACTCAGTCACCTATCAGTTTCGAACTAAAGAACTTAAAGTGAAAGTTCTTTGGTAATCTCTATACTATAATGAAAAACTAGTTTCTCCTTTACATGGTAACCTGAAACAGTTCTTCACCCGATATGTTTCTGCTCTCTGATACTGTTCAGTTTTGTGATTCAGTTCAAAAGAACTGTAAATATTTTGCTTTCTTTTCCTAATTGCCAAATATGATTACGTTTACAAATTCTCTTTGGGACTTAGAAGAAAAATGTTTTTTTTATAGGCCCCCCCTTTTTTTTCTTTCTTATTTAACAGAATTTTATTCTATTATATGTAAAGTGTTCTTTTATCTGTGTTTCATGTAGTTTTAATATGTATTGTTAAAGTCGTAATTGAATTAAATAGCATAAATATCAAAAACACCAAAATTGTAAAGTATTTTATATGCCTCGCCCCAACACACAAAAAATTCCTCCGTGGATTAATTACTTCTTTATTACGAAGTAAAGGAAGCATTGTAATCATAAAAATCCCGGGTATCATATTTCAAAGAAAATATCCACTTGGACTGTAATCGAATGCAATTTAACGACGTTTTTGCGTGACATCTGTACGTAAGGATAGAATAAAGGCCTCTTTTTTTCCCAAAGGCATAATAAAATTGATTTAAAGTGAATTCAGAAGAGATATTTTTCTTGACATTTGTACGTATATACCCGCTTAATTCAAAAACAAATATTCTCAGAACGTTCAAATTTTGTATATAGGACTGCTATAACATGTTAGTTGTGCATCTCCCTTTTTGGTTGCAATTAGCCGCACCATATACATCTACCCAATCTGTTACTTGGATCCAAGAGTTCAGTTTTTTAATTCTTATGTGTTGGTAAACTGCGCAATTAATTTCCTTCAAAATGATTGAATTATGTAGTTCTTCTCTCCGGTTAAGAATTTTATGCCTTTAGTTAATCTGCATGCAATAGTTGTAGATTTATCAACAGTTTAAAAGTTGTTTAAGAGCGGATAAGCCTAAATTTATTTATCATAGCCGCCATATTTGTTTACATTTGAAACTAGAATATTGAATTCAGTTTCTGCCCCTATAGTGACTTTTTGCCTTGGGACCAAAAGTAAACTTTCAGTTTTGTGCACCGAAAACTCTGCCTTCTTGCCTGCTGGCCGAATGGCTTGTTTTTGGGTAGAAACTCTAATTTTAATTATAATTTTTTTTTAAATTGTTTTAACTGTATTTGGTGTTTTACATTTTTCTATATTTTTCAATTTTTAATGACGATATTTTGAGGTTTTATGTATTTTTGCCTTGCCGCAAAGTGAGAACTGAATGTGATATCTATCTATATTGAACTTCGAGGAAATACATTTAAACGAAATACAGCAAAAGAAAAGCGCATAATGTAATATTCCATACAAAGAAGTCATGTGGTATCCGCAGCAGATTTTTTTTTAAGGGAAGCTGTTATTTATAAGCGAATTCTCTAACACATTATATTCATTTTAATGATATTTTACTTTAGTAGTTCAGGTTACAAAATTAAATCAATACATTTTTTTTTTTAAATTTGCAAGCCTTTGAAACAAATCATAAGTCACAAAATATATATAAAAAATAAATGAATAAAAAAGCAGCGTTTTGAATGTTTTCATATGACTGAAGCTTTCAACTCTAATAATAGAATTCCGATTTTTCGAAACACTGATAAGTTTTGAATGATTTTTTGTGTAATCAAGAAGTCATCGCACAGCTTCTATCTGAACGCTTCTTATCTGAGAGATTAGACGCTGTTTCACTTACGAAAATCACATCGAGAGGTTTAGAGCGATTGTTCAGAAGAAAGTTTTAAAATGTACATCTTCTACTTTTTAGGTATTTTTTTCTTGTGTATTATTCAGTCAATATGTGTAAATTATAAAGAAGATTACTTTGATCAAAAGGTTGATCATTTTAACTATTTATCTACTGGAAATTTAACCTTCAAGCAACGTTACTTTTACATGTATGATACTGTAATATATATATATATAATACTATATATATTTTTAGTTTTCATAATATTTTAAAATTTCCATTTTTTTTTAATTACTTTTGTTTTTGTTTTTGAAGACAAACGTTTACTTAAACTTCTTTAAATGGCTTAATACATGAATAGAAGTCTTTGATAACTCCTAAAAAAGATCTTTTAGCTTTAATTTATTCAGATTAAGCTACGCCAGTTTAGATTTTAAAAGCACCCTAGAATTGCCTGCCGTACATACTAGGTAGTGACTTTATTCATTAGGACAGTTTGTTTCTATGGGGAATCTTAGATCCTTAAACATTTTATTTCAAATATATTTGGAAATATTTGAAAATTTAATTGATATATGTAATAATTTTTAGAAAATATCTCCTTTAAATCTTCTATGTTTTTGAGATAAATACTCGAGGAATTATATTTAAAGCCATTTTTTACACAATTTAATGTTTTTGGATTTTATGAAATTAATTTTACCGTGGTAGATTTATGCAGGAACACTGAGAAGAACACCTGAAACATCAAATTTATTAGCTTGTGTTTTGAGCGAAAATTAGAAATGTTATATCAGAGGTAAAATTTCTCTATAGATATGGTTAACTGGACAGCACAGTTTAATGAACCATATATCTGGTTGTTTCTGTATGATATTTCAGTAACAAAATACGCAAGAATTTAAAGATATAGCAGAAAAATATGCAAGAATAATTTATGTACTGTAAAAATCTTCTGCAGCAAGTAATTCCTATGTACAATAATATGTATGCATGCAAATAACAATTCCCAAATCAAAAACACGATGTTATTACAGAACAGTGATACTATCCGGGGAAAAAATGAGTTTGCCATTAGAGATTACAAATGTTTTAAATCCGTATTATTCAGTGTAGTAGCCACTAGCCACATGTTGTTGATAAATATTTGAAATGTAAATACTGTGACTGCTAAATCTTCTATTTTAATTGAGTAATTAAAATTAAAGAATAAAATTTAAAGTAATAAAATGTTAGCCATTGTTATTGATCGTAGATCAATTGACTTGCCAAGAGGAAAAAACCAATCCACTATCAATAAACAATAAACAAATTAATTGAGAGTGTTTCGTCTTTTTTCTAAGTAAGAATCAAATTAGTTATTTTGCTAGATTTAAAGCATAAGCTACTATCAAAACTCAAAAGTGAGAAAGATAATTAGTCGCTTCAACCAAAATACTTGCCACAAACAAAAGCGGAAATAAAAATGAGTTAGATTTCCCTTTTAATTTAAGGTCCTTATTAAGAACTGAATTGAGATCCTCACTTTAGAAAAAAACTTTCCCCGACACTCTCACAGTATAGTAAAATCAATAAAAAATTATTGAGACTTGTATAAATTTATATAAAATAATTGATATACGTACAAAAAAAGATATTTGAAAACAACAGAAATATGTACAAATTAATATATTCTTTTATATATAAACGCAAAATCAAGAGCAGTATTTAAATACAAATTCAGGTAGGAATTGATGTCAGAAAGGAAATTAAAATTAACTAACTTGTTTGTAAAATTTGAAACGAAATATCTATGACTGTAAATGTACTCAGTGATGGAATGTAATAGGGTTGTTGTATTTGGTGCAAGAAGATAGTGGTTGGTGACCTATTGTACTCTGTTTGAGATACTGAAGTCATAAAGGTTGGCGAGAGAAGCTTATTTAGTTAAAGTTATCATTAGAGACTAATTTCTTAGTAAAAATTTTTAATCTACCAGAAGAGATTAATTTATTTCTGGCTAATGGTTTAAAAAGCATCTAGGAGAAGTTATTTTTACTAGTAAAGGGCTGTTTACCAGACTGAGAAATATGAAATGGGCCAACTAGTTAGTAAAAGAATAGAATTTCAGAAAAAAAACTTATAATTTGCGTTATATAACAAAAATAATTACACAATTTACAAATCTTTAACTAACAATCATCCAACTTATTTCGTCTTTTGCAGCTTTTATGAATAAATTATCCCCATCAGTCAACAGATTTAAATTGAGTATTGCCTGCTTTTTTAAGATAGAAATTAATAAATTTATCTAGTACTAGATTATTTTTAAGAACTTGAATAAGTATTGATATCTCGGTTTGAATATCTAGTGTATAGGTATAAATATTTTTTGATTTGTTGTAATTGACTAATGATTGTGTTCCTGATTACTTTTCTGGAAATGTTTGATGTCCAATTAATTAATTTATTAGTTTCAAATTTGAAGTTTCTGTTTTGTCATCGAGTTTAATCTGTGTGTAGTTAACTATTTGAAGATCTAAAAATTCGATTACGTTTTGTGAAGGATTAGTTTTATTAAGAATACAGCTTTTGGAATAAATTTGGGAATTTTCTATTTTGTTAAAACTATTAAAAGTGATGAGATCATCAACGTATCTGAAAGTACGTTCATAATAAATTAAATCTTTTTGTTGTAGTGTTTTTTGAAATTTAAATTCTTGAATAAACAAAAATATGTTACAAATACTAGTATGAGCTCCCATTGGTATACTTGTTATTTGTTTAAAAAGTTGATTGTCAAATTTCATGTATTAAAAATTATTAATTTAATTATTTAATTATTAAAAATAGTGCAGTGAAGGAGGTTCTTCCATTTATTAAAATCTAGAATAGTGAGTATTTTAGGAAAGTGTTTTGGAAGTTAAAGAAGTCTAGTAAATACTTCTTTCAATGGAAGAGAAGCATGTTTTCATAGTAGTTAATATTTTGTATGTTGATAGTCAGTAATGTTAATTACAGAAATGTTCAATCAAAATCGTAAAAAACAACCTTATATTTAGCGTAGGTGTAATGAAACACTCAATCGATTTCGAGGGCAGCTAAAGGTCCCTCCTCATCAGGAGAAAGAAATACATAGAAAGAAGAAAATAGGAATCACAGAAACACGTGGTGCTTATCAGCACTGCACGTCGTTATAACTAGATTTTTAATCAGAGTTGCACTGACTGGCCGCCTACTTTTACTGAGCCAGGCTGTCTGATCAAGCATAAAGAAATTTAGCGAAGTTAAAATAGGGAGCGAGGGCAATGCACATTACGCTCAAAATCTGAACTTCAAATAATGGAAAGCAACCACTGAACGGATTTTATACCCTCTGGTAGTACCAAGTGCGAGGAGGTAACGCCATCTATCGGCAAAAATAATTGAATTAAGACAGTAGAATTTTAAAGGCATTAGGAAGGAACTGGATTGGACTTCAAATCATTAACTAAACTTCTAAATCTTTGTGAATGTGAAAAGCCTCAAGAAAATCCAATTCGCCTATGGAAGAAGCCTTTTGGATGATTTTTGCAGACCCAAAATCAAAATTATGGTTAAAAGTCCAGCTATGATACGCTATTGAAGACTTGTTATTTCCCCTTTTTTGACATAAGATTCATGTTCCTTGATACGAAACTTCAACGCTCTTTTTGTTTGGGCCAATATATCTTAAACCACACTGACATGATATACTATAAATTCCCCAAGAATTCAAGACAGAAACGCAATCTTTTAGAATCGAAGGGTGAATTTATTAATAGGGGAGAAAACCGACTTGAAAATTGAATTTCTGGAGAATCCGTGCAATTTTATAGCTAACAGAAGGATAAAATGGAAGCACGACAAGGTCATTGATATTATTTCTAACAGTGGAATGTCTTCTTTGATGGGAATCTGAAAATTTTTTGACGGCTTTATCAATAATCACGGGAGAAAATCCACGGTCAATCGCAACTGCTCTCAAATAATTAAGTTCATTGGTAAGCAAAGATTCAGAGGAACAAACTTTTAGCGCGCGGAAAACATAATAGTAAAAAGAAGCCATTTTTTGCTTAACAGGGTGGCATGACTTGGCATGGGGTGGTAAACAAACTGCAAAGGGTTTACGGTACACAGTGGTGCTAAAACCGGTTTCATTGCGGATTATAAGAATATCGAGGAAGGGGAGGGAATTGTTGGATTCAATTTCAAGAGTGAATTGGATGGCTGGATCAATTGAATTCATAATAGATAGAATCTCGGATAAATCCTCTTTATAACCGTCAAAAAGTGCGAAAGTGTCGTCAACATACCGAATCCAAGACGAAAAGATAATTTATCAATAATTTCATCTCAAAATAGTGCATATAAATGTCAGCAAGTACCGGACTGAGAGGATTACCCATAGCCAATCCTTCAACTTGACGAAAATATGCATTTTGGAAAACAAAGTGGGTTTGACTTAGAGAAACTTTAGTAAGCGAAACCAACTCATTAATTTCAGTATGTGTGAAGTGAAATTCCCGAAGCCTAGTTTCAAGACAATTTAGTGCTCCTTCGACCGGAACATTAGTAAACAATGATTTGACATCAAATGAAACCATAATGGAACGAAGTGGGGAAATATTTTTAAGTTTATCAATGACTTCAACAGAATTTTTTACAGTGTGAATAGTGTTATCAAGTAGAGAAGAAAATCTGGAAACTAAATATTTGGCCAAAGGATATGAAGCAGTACCTATGTTGGAAACAATTGGTCGAAAAGGAATACCGGTTTGTGGACTTTTGGAAGAGCATAAAGTCTAGCGCAATTAGTAATAGGCGGAATAAGTGATTTCTTCAACTGAGTTGGCAGAATGTGGGAAGATTTAATAGCACTTTTTACTTTCATGAGGTCCGAAGTTGAAGGATCTTTAGGGATCGAGCAGTATGGGCCTTCATTTATCAATTTAGAGAACTCCAGTAATATATGTGTGTTTGTCCATAACAACGATCTGTCCGCCTTTATCAGCTTTAGAGATAATGATATTAGTATCAGAATTAATTCCACGTAAGATCTCATTTTCCTTTTGCTAAGATTAGAACCCAAAGATTTATTGTTAAAATTAACGTTATGAGTAATTAGGTGGCGAGATTGTATCCTTCTGCGTTTCCGAAATTGTGGAGAATTTAAAGGCTTCTCTATAGGGGCGATGATTTGAGGAATTGAAGGTTTAGATGTCTTTGAAAAGTTGAAATTATATTTTAATACTTTTAACTGATCCTCCGAAAGATTCCTATTGGAGATATTAACGATGGAGTTAACGTTTACAGTGGAAGATCAGCTAGATAATTGGGACTATCCGACTGTGTGTGAGTTTTTGGAATTTAGAAATGAGCCATTTTTATGCCGTTGACAAACGGTATCGGTTCTAGACCAGGATGTATGTTCAAATGAGGAAAAATTTTCAGTGGAATTAGCAATTTTTAAATGGAGGTAATATAATTCAAATTCAATTTTAGATAAACGTTTGCGTGTGTCCCGTTATAATGTGACGAAGAAGTGCTAATTTGAATTTATGCAAAATTTTTGAAACGTGAACGGAGCTTTAAGGCTACATTTCACATGTATAAATTTGGGAATGAAAATTTGATGTTTGCATTTAAGTAGAAACTGAAACTAGATGATTCAAGAATTTCGTACGCTTAAGGCGTAACTTACAAAATCGGTTCCTGTCAGTGGACATATTGTGAAAAGGGCACAAGCAAGAACACAAGTGAACAAAAGAAATGTAATTCCGAAAGGTCCAACAAGTAATTACTTATAACATGAAAAAAACACCAATAAATAATGAAGACAATTTTCATCAACAAATGACAAAAACATTCCAAAAGGAGAGAAACATCCAATACTGAAAAACCAATAGCCACGTGGAAAGAAGCAACGAAAGTCAAAATCGTGCACGTGGTAAACCGAAAAAATATAGAATTACCTCGAAAATGCCGGTTGATAGCATAAACCAAATCCGAAAAAATGTTTGTTTACCACCCCATGCCAAGTCATGCCACCCTGTTAAGCAAAAAATGGCTTCTTTTTACTATTATGTTTTCCGCGCGCTAAAAGTTTGTTCCTCTGAATCTTTGCTTACCAATGAACTTAATTATTTGAGAGCAGTTGCGATTGACCGTGGATTTTCTCCCGTGATTATGATAAAGCCGTCAAAAAATTTTCAGATTCCCATCAAAGAGACATTCCACTGTTAGAAATAATATCAATGACCTTGTCGTGGCTTCCATTTTATCCTTCTGTTAGCTATAAAATTGCACGGATTCTCCAGAAATTCAATTTTCAAGTCGGTTTCTCCCCTATTAATAAAATTCACCCTTCGATTCTAAAAGATTGCGTTTCTGTCTTGAATTCTTGGGGAATTTATAGTATATCATGTCAGTGTGGTTTAAGATATATTGGCCAAACAAAAAGAGCGTTGAAGTTTCGTATCAAGGAACATGAATCTTATGTCAAAAAGGGGAAATTAACAAGTCTTCAATAGCGTATCATAGCTGGACTTTTAACCATAATTTTGATTTTGGGTCTGCAAAAATCATCCAAAAGGCTTCTTCCATAGGCGAATGGGATTTTCTTGAGGCTTTTCACATTCACAAAGATTTAGAAAGTTTAGTTAATGATTTGAAGTCCAATCCAGTCCTTCCTAATGCCTTTAAAATTCTACTGTCTTAATTCAATTATTTTTGCCGATAGATGGCGTTACCCTCCTCGCACTGGTACTACCAGAGGGTATAAAAATCCGTTCAGTGGTTGCTTTCCATTATTTGAAGTTCAGATTTTGAGCGTAATGTGCATTTGCCCTCGCTCCCTAT